AAAGAGAAAGGAAAACTTGAAATCACATCATATGACCCCTTTAACTGAATGAGCGTGACATCATACGTATTGCAGCAGACTTGCAACCTGGGGCCGGTTGCATAAACTGCTTAGACTAGTCTTAAAAAGTTAGTACGCAGGTAGTGACGATTCTCTCCGGCCAGTCCGTGATCAGCAGAGTTTACACGTCACGTTTTGGTAACGGTACGGTTCACTTGGAACCCCAACCGAGGTGGTACTAAAAAAAGTACCAGGTACCAGGTACTGTACCCAGTGGAAAACCCCCAAAAAGTGAACCGTACCGAGCCGTACCGTGCCGTACCATGCAGTGGAAAAGCGCCATATGTTTATGCAACTGGGCCCTTTATGCTACTGTATATATATATATATATACATATATCATAAAAAAGAAACACCTACCTCCCTTTCAAATGTACAATAATAGCCTACTACACATCACATTATGTGAAGTATTTCTATTTCACTGACCATTTATGAATACTGCATGAATAATGTATTCAGTGACACAATTATGTATGCAGAAGTATGTATTCACAAGAACAAATGTACACATTTAGCTGTACTGTAATATATCACATATCACACAATGTTTCAATATTATTCATTCAGAAAATAAATATTTTCAGAGCACTAAAAACTCATTTCCTGTATCATAACTATCAAATATGTGTCTGACCCTAACTGGCCATTTCATTGGTCTATCATAGTTCCTGTGGCAAAAGCCACTCCTCCTTCTTAAATATTTGATATCACACACTTAATTTCCTCTTCAGTTCTGGTTTGACTCAGTGCAAAAATGTTACGCATTTCAGCTGCAGCTTTATTGCTCTTTGGGACGGGTAAGAATTATTTTCTACTGTGAACAATATGGGGAGATATTTATTTTAATTTAATAATTATTTTAATTTAATGATATTGTTTTGTGGTGTGCTATGGTTTTTCTTTTCTTTTCAGGTTTTCTCCAAGTTATGTTTTCGATAGCAATTATACAGGCTCATCCAGGACAAAGTGTCACTATGTGGTGTTCACACAATATTCATGTTTCTGGATATCTGTACTGGTTCAAACAAACAGACGGTGCTGTACCTATTACTATTGTGCACATGTTATACACCGAAAGTCTTCAGAAGGTTGAGCCAAATTATTTCAACAATTTCACAAAAGACCGCATGGTCATGGATCAGTTAAGCAAAAGCACTGCCCTAACAATTAAGCAAGTGAAAATGTCTGATTCTGGCTTCTACTTTTGTGGAGCTACAGGATATCACATGAAATTTTGCAATGGAACAAAGCTTCAAGTGAAAGGTAATCTTTTTTGTACCTCTTTCATTATATTCTCACGTTCATATCATATGTATAGCTCTTTGTTTCACTTTGTCATTAATAGCGCATGTTGGAAAAACACCACACTTGTGACCCTGGAGCACAAAAGCAGTCATAAGTAGCACAGGTATATTTGTAGCAATAGCCAACAATACATTGTATGGGTCAACATTATACATTTTTCTTTTATGCCAAAAATCAATCGGATGTTAAGAAAAGATCATGCTCCATGCCAAAAATAATTAGGATAGTAAGTAAAGATCATGTTACATGAAGATATTTTGTAAATGTCCTACTGTAAATATATCAAAACTTCATTTTTGATTAGTAATATGCATTGATAAGGACTTAATTTGGACAACTTTAAAAGCGATTTTCTCAATATTTAGATTTTTTTTGCATCCTCAGATTCCAGATTTTCAAATAATTGTACCTTGGCCAAATATTGTCCTATCCTAACAAACCATCCATCAATGGAAAGCTTATTTATTCAGCTTTATTCAGATTATGAATAATAATAAATAATAAAATATAAATCTCAATTTTAACAAAATGACCCATATGACTGATTTTGTGGTCCAGGGTCACAATTTAAATACCTTTGTAAATGCCACAATGGTAATTGACTTATCCTTGCCAACTGTTTTCATATCAGAGAAAAATTACACAGGAACCTCAAAAAAGGGTATGTTATTTTATCTTTAATATTAAAATTAAAACTGCAGGTGTTTAATATTTATCCATGTTCTTGTTTAATCTGTTGATTCAAATTACTTGGAAAAATAAATATATAAAATGTGTTCTTTGTGGCATCACTTAAAATGTATTTGAATTTTGAAATTATATCCACTCTTTACAGATCATGAGCAATCATCCGTGTCTACTGAGGAGTGTTCTAGAGGCATCTATTTCAAACTGACACTCCTATTTGGTGGAATCATTTTTTTTACATGTATTGTTCCTCTTATTTTGGCGATTATCAGGGAACACAGAAGACAGAAGCATAAAAAAGGTAAACTCTTTGCACATAGAAAAATTAAGTTAAATCACAAATGTGGAGTGAATATTAAAAATGGCTTTGAAATGATGGCTTTTTAATTTCATTATCGTAGAGCAACTGATTGTCTTTTTCTCTGCTTTGTAGCAGTCACTGAATGTCAAGCACAACAGCATGATGACAAGGTAAACTCCACAGACTTACATTACTCTAAAGGCTAAGTAAAATAATTTACAGACAATCCCAGCTTCACCTTATGAAAACAAACAAAGCTTTTTTTTTTATCCCAGATCACACTTGTTTATTATAATGAACAAAATATTTATTAAGAACAAAATATTTAAATACTTTATGCATTAATTACTTCTCATTAATTATTGCTATATGAGTGTTATTATTATTATTATTATCTTATGATTCCAACTGAACAATATTATTTCTAATTCTGTTGGCTGTTAAGGATGTGAATAGCATTATTTTTGCTGTAGAATTTATTTTAGAGGGTAAGGAAAAGGAAAACAGTTTACAAAGACTCCAGAATAAAATGTATGTTGTCGTATGATCACCTGGATTAGGATCCTGACATACATGTTTGTACTTCTTTGCAGGAAAATTATTCAGTAGAATATGCTGCTGTGTATTTCTCAAAAAAGAGACTCAAAACAGCAGGACGACATACTGAGGATACAACTGCTGTGTACACCAATACTACTTGAAAACATATTATTTGTTAATTAACTATGGTTTATTTTTACCTAACAGCTAAACAGCATCACTGTTTTACTCTTTAAAAATGTGATTATTGAGGTGATCAGAGATCTGTCTTTTCTTTGCACTATTGTAAATAATGGTTAAGATTATTCAATTTGGTTGCAATACTTTGACTCCTACTATTAATTCACTCTGACACCATTACACAAAGCCCTTGAATTTAGGTTGAGATAACAATTAAACATCAGAGTTTTAGGTTGCATCTCAGTTTGGATGCCGCTTAAAGTGTCACACTGGTTATTATACATGGATCTCATGGTTACAAACTCATAAATTGTAGTGTTAACTAATACCATTTAAAGTTTGCTCACTCATGGCTAAATAGCAGTTCTACATAGTCACTTTGTTGCATGTTTTTTCATGAGCCTGGGTTGTCACTTTCATTCACCTTAAGTTGAATGCTTAGGCAGAAAGCTACAGTCCCAACCAGAGGCGGACAGTAGTGAAGTATTTTTACTCTGCTGTAAAAGTACTTTTCAGGTGTCTGTACTTTATCAGAGTGTTTTTCTTTAGAAAACTTTACTTCACAACATTCCAAAGCATAATATTGTACTTTTTACTGCACTACGTTTCATATTAAATATAATTTAATACTTAATTACATTAGAAATCTATTACTTTCTTACTGTTACTCAAGTAAAAGTAATTCAAAGATTTACTTGAGTACAATAAAGTACTACATTTTTAATGTTCTTAAGTATTAAAGGTAAAACAAACAACAACTTTTATTTATGAAATGAAGTGCAGTAAAAAGTATGATATTATGCTTTGGAATGTAGTGAAGTAAAGTTTTCCAAAGAAAAACACTCTGATAAACTACAGATACTTTTTAAATTTACTTGAGTAAAGTAAAAATACTTCACTACTGTCCGCCTCTGGTCCCAACTGTGTGTCACTTTCTGGGCCTTCAGAGAATTAAAATCAGGATTTTTATCAATTAAGGTAAAATGTATCGTGTCAATAATATAATTCAGAAATTATTTTAAAAATATATATATATATTCAAAGACACATTACAGTCAAACGTGCTTTTAGTTCTTTGCTGCTTTGGAACATATATTCTCAAAAGTGCTATGGAGAAACTATAGGCAGCCAAAGCAGTAAAGAAAACATCACATTATTATCAATATATCTGATCAACAATGAATCTTCTTATTTTGAACTAGTAGCCATGGACTCGCCTGTTGATTGACAGGTCTGTCATAGTTTGATGTAAGCATAAGCCACACCCCCTCACATAAAAAAAAGCACATTGATTTCCTCATCTTAATTTCCTCGTTGGTTCTAGTCTGATTCAGTACTGCAATGGTACATATAATAATTTCAGCACTGGTGATCTGTGTCACGGGTAAGCATTACGGCACTATAATTACTTCAATCATGCAAGATTAATGAATGATTAATTCAATAATAATTAGTAAACATTAGGTGTGAAATAGTTTTATGAGCTTTTGGGATTTTTTGGGGAACATTTTTATCAGGATTTTAAATATAAATATTAAAACACTGTTATTCCTCTGTGGGTTTTAGGCTTGCTTACAGCTGTTAAAGCATCTCAGATAGACAATGTATCAGCTCAACCAGGAGAGAATGTCACTATTTGCTGTCAACACAACTCAGAAACTGGAAAAAACATACACTGGTTCAAGCAAACGAAGAGTTCTGTACCTATTGCCATTGTATACATGATGATAAGCTACGAGCTTAAGGAACTGCATACTAATTATTTAAATGGTTTTCAACAAGATCATCTGCTAATGTCTCTGAACACCGAAAACACCTCCCTACGAATTTTAAATGTGGATGTTTCTGATTCTGGTCTGTACTTCTGTGGTTGGAACTCTTGGATGATGACATTTGGTGATGGAACACAGCTAGAAATTAAAGGTAATCTGTCCTTATCAGTAACACTATTGTAAAGGAATGTTTTTGCTCCATGTCAAGTAGCAAAATATAACAAAAAATAAATTACATAGTACACATATATGTGGATCATTTTTAATGTGTTAAATGACTAATGACTAAATATATTTAAAGTCTTTATTTATTGTGCAGAGAGGAGTATAACACCACTGCAAAATGAAACAGAAAATACAAATAAAGGTGTTTATCATCTGAGTTTCTTTAACACTCATAACATTCATTTACAATAATGCTTTTATCTGAATGGCGGTTTGTTAAAGTAAAATGTAATTTAATTTGAGCAGATCTGAACAAGAGGCCGATTTCTACAAAAGACTGTTCTGAAAACATCTTTTATAAGCTGACCTTTATTTTTGGTGGTATTATTTTTATTCTTACCATCATTCTGCTCACCACGCTCATCATTAAGATACATAACAGAAACACGCAGGGAAAAGGTAACAGTGCATCTATTCAGTTCAGAAGATTTAGGCTATATACACTATGGAATGGATCTAATTTGGGAAATAACTGTGCAGTGAAATAATTGTACGTTTATTAAAAGCTAAACCTCTTTTTTTAGTCTCCATTTCTATCGCCGCAGATGCTGATGGCCATGAAACACAACATCATGAGGTAAACTTATTGTTAAAATAAGAATGTTCATTCTCTGAATGCGGAAAAAGCACATTTGAAACCATAACCAAAAAGTAAAGTTTTTTTTTTTTAACTCAGAAGTCCTCTAAGAACTGCAATATCAATAGTATTGACAAAAATCCTTGAAATTAAAGACCAGGCTGACTGGTCTACAAAAAGATTTAAATGCTATTCAAATGATTAATAATGAGAATAGTTATTAATAAATTATTAAATTATTATTTATATTGAAATATTACTTTTACATCTAACATTCTTCAGGTGAAATGTTTCTTGAGATTGTTTTGCACACGGCCTGCGGGCCTTTTCTGTTTAGCTCTAACCATGTCTTTAAAAAGGGCTGCATAGTTGAAATAATTTAATGTGAATGCAACTCTTGAGCAGAATATCGCTCTATATTAGGGACATTTTATATGGTTAATTGTTAGAAGTAAAAATAAGGCCCAAAAAATAGTAATGGTATAAAGTGAGAGAATGTATTCGGATGCTAATAAGCTTTACATATACACAAAATCCTTGTTTCTTGATTGTTTTGTTTATCTGATTTTCTTCTGTACATGTTTTAATTAAATTTGTTTTTAAATGTTGTTAAATACATCTTTCAATCTGTTGCAGGAGCCTCATTCGTCAGTGTATGCCGCTCTACAATTCTCAAAACACAAATCCAGAAGAGCAGCCAGAAATACAGATGATACAGATGTTGTGTATTCTGCCACTAGATACAGCACACGGTCAAATACTGTAGCCTACTGTAATGTTTAAAAGCCATATGTTCATCAAGACTCTAATATATACAGTATATGCTATTACTAATGCCATACAATTAAAGTGAATGTGAGCTCTGCAATGTTTAGTATTTTCAACGCAATAAAAGTTGTAAAGATCAAATGCATTTGAAGGTTCTAAGACGTTTAATTTATATTTGATATGTTCTCTGTAAGTTAGATGCAAGCAGTAAGCAGGCCCTTACTCAAGAGGCAGGGGTTGTGAATGAGATCACTTCCTATACAGACCTTGACAGGAAGAAGCTGTTCAGTGTAGAATGAGATGTGCTGAGGGGAACTTGAGCGGACCAAATTACAAAGCTGTAAATATACACACCAAAACATACACTGTAAAAAAAAATCAAAAGTTGAGAAAACTTAAAAGTTTAAGGCAACCAGATTCAGGAGATTTTTTTAGAGTTTTCTCAACTTGTTTTTGTAGGAGATTTGTACTTTTTGTTGTATAAACTGAAATGTCCTGAAGCTGGTTGCCTTAAACTTAAGTTTCTCAACTTTAGCTGTACAAATTATTAAAAATCTTATTAACTATGCTCACATTTGATTTGACAACAATTTAGTACTTTGTGAGCAGCAGCAGTATAGCCTGATCATTATGAATATTGATAATATTACTCATGACAATTTAAAGAAAATATTAAAATATTGTTTAAATCTAATTAAATGTGTGTGTAAACTGTTTAAATCAGATAAAAGCTTTCTTAGATATCTGCATACCAGTCTGTGCACCTGTTAGCACATGAGAGCATCACAGTTTGACTGTTTTCCACCCACCAGACTGACCCCCAGCTCATCTCTCAACCACACAAACACCATCACACTACATGCCTTTCACACTACTTTCCATAACCACAGACAAAATACCCCTTGTTTTTAAGTGAGGTGTTAAGACACAGATGACAATAACTTGAATTTGAATTTTTTTTTAAAACTGAATATTATTATGAGACAGCAATGACAATAACCTTTAAATTAAAAAGTATTAATCTTTTTAAGAAATGAACTTTTTAATGCTATATTTATATATATTTTTTTTTTAATTTGTAAATATATAATTCATAGTATAATATATAGTAATACTTTGAACTACTTTGAAAAGTAGCAGGCAAGGCTCATTAATAAAATCAAAAACGTTACTCTTGCTTAATACGATCTGTCACTTATCTTGATCCAACCTGCAGTCCAAAACATGTTACATGCTCCTGGCCGGCACTGTAGAAAAACGGAAAAAGAGCTGGTAATCTTCTGCAAGGACATTGTCCGTTTAGTTTACAGAAATGTTCTTTAACTCTAAAACACAACACAATGCCACATGTAATTCAAAACATGGGAAAAACAGCTTTGGAAAAAAATCAATACTGAAAATTCTATTCTATTCTAAAATTCTATGGGCCCTATTTTTACAGACTTTTCTTAGCGTGGGGAAGAGAAACAATATTTCTCTTAATGCATAATGAACTGTTTATCACTGTGCTCCACTGAGACACCTTTGCTTCTTTGCAAGTGTCATTATTTAAGTCATATGATGATCTAATATAGTAATGTGTCTTATCTTTAATAAGATGTTTTGAAGTCTCAGTGTCACTGCAATTTTATCACAATGCACTGTTAAAGTGTGCAACTGCATAATACCACATGTTGGTTCCTTTCACACATTGACTAATGGTTTCGGAAACAGACTTATGCCACTAAATACATGTAAGACAATGAATTTGTTGCACAGCGCTCAGGTTGTGGTCAGCTTTTGTTTCTGAAAGTAACTTAGAATAAACAAGCGTTAGAATAGACAAGCCTTAAGCGCTCTTAGGTCTCTGTGGGTAAGTTTCCATACATCATCTTATTGCAGTGAAACCCAAGCATCAAAGCGAAGTGCAGACAGCAGTGATCTGGCTATGTTTCGAGTTTCTCCTCCAGCATTACCAAGCAACCCTCCATAAATAGTGATTATTCAAGCGCCTCTTTAATATACTGAATCACCATGCATAGGTGTTTTTGCCCTTTTTGCAAAATATGCCACATTAATAGGATTTTGTACTTTGGTAACAGATAATTTAACTAGATGCTCTTTACCTGAAGGTGCAAGTTAAAAGAAGTTCGAAGTTCATTCCATATTTCATATTTCTCAAAGCAAAGATCTTGCTAAGGCCCATTTGTAATATCAAATGTTAATATTTATTTATTTTCAACTACTGTTGTTTTTAAACCCAAAATCACATGACCCACAGGAGGGATGTCCAATCCTGCTCCTGGAGGGCCAGTATCCTACAGAGAGCTTCAATTCCTGTTGGAGCGAAACTCTACAGGACAGTGCCCCTCAAGCAACAGGTCTGGACACCCCTGACCTACAGTAAAATATTGCTAGACTGAGGAAACTGCTACAGTACCTATATATGAGCTTAGAGTTTACAATAATAAATATGTTTTTATTTGCATTAAATTAGGTCAATACATTTGAGGGATTCTTATATTTTGAGGGAAACTGACTGATCAAAGCACTGTACGACTAGTTGTTCTGTAGTGGTTTGACAGCAGGGAGGTATTCTGAGCCTGTGTTTTTTCAATGACTGCATGTAGGGGGCACCAGTTCATTAGTTGACATGTTTTACAGCATAATATTGTTAGTGGTCATGTTAGTGGAAATGTTCTAAGGGTTAAATAATCAATTAAGCATCAAAAAGCATGCAAAGTGTGTCCAATAACCATGACAGGCTTAATTATCTTGAACAGCTCATTACTGGATGAGCTACTGTACAACATTTAAATGTTCCCTGTATTTCTAGACTACATATAAATGTAATTTTGAGAGTATGATGTATTGATGTATGAAAGTATTTCTTTCTTTCTTTTTGTATTTTGATCATAATGTGTAGCAAGGAAATATAGAAAATAAAACGTCAAAAACTACTGAAAATGAGAGTTCACAAGAATGAAAAAGTGTCAGTTGATCATAAGGAGACACCAGACCCAGATTCACTGAGACTCCAATCATGAACATGTCATCACATGTCATCTAAATCAGAAAGGCAAGTCTTGACTCCTCTAAACCCAGGCGTTTCACACCCACATGTCTTACAAACACTCCATAAGATGTTGCCAAATGCACAGAGGACCTCAACTATGTTTAAAGTACTTCTAACATTTTTTTTTCCCTTAAGGACAGGTGTGTTTGTTGTGGAAGAGAGATTAGTTCTGCAAAGTTAATTCTTACCTTACAATGTTTAAGAAAATGTTATTCTGATCTGTTTTGAATGATACTGCTTGTACTTTTTCCTTCTCAGGCTTCATCGCACCTGCTGCTGTATTTCAAAAGAAAGTCCTGGAGACCTTTACTGCAGGCGAAACTATAACTTTAGAGTGCTTGATATCTCAAAGCTATGAAAACTACTTCTCTTGGTTCATGCAATCTCTGGGAAAAGCATAAACCAATCCAGCAGTAACATAATCTACTACTGCGGTCATTTGAAATTGTTGAAGTTGTTTATATGTTGTTGTGCTACAAGCAGGTTTGATGATTTTTCGGGCCGCATTTTGGGCGAAAGAATAGAATGTATCTATTCTGATTGGTCAGTTCTGAGAGGAGCCCTTATGCTGTCAGCCACATGAAAGAAAAATAAACTAGGCCTATATATTTTTAGCTTTATTGTTACATTCCTTTTGAACTAGGCCTACATTTTTGAGGAAACTCAGATCTGATGCTATAGATTTTGTAGTAAGGCCAGTAAGCTAAAATTAATGCATGAATTAATGCATGTAATACGTGCATAAAAGATGTACTTCTTGTTTAACCTTTTATGTGCCTTGATTTGGCACTTTATACGGTATATGCTGCAAATAACTAATAAAACGTAGGCTAAGTATCTTAGCTAATCCGTTTGCTGGAACTTAGTGATATGAATGAATAAAAAAGAATGACCTTTATTCAGGTACAACAAAGATTTCTTTACTAAAACCAACCCAATGAATGACAAGTTTAGACCACATGACAGGAAGATGTGGCTAAAGCGGTCAAGTTGCATAATTTGCACAAAGCCTCCACCCCAACACTCAATCTATAATCCTTTCAAGATTGATCTTTTGTCCTGCAGAAAGGCCTGTTGCATGTGTAGTCTTCTACAGATCAGTTAAGATGACTAAATTATCATACATCACATGCATTATACTTAACCTGTGTGAGTATGAACTTAAGATTTTTCTTTAAACCTTAGGCAAATGACTTTCGGACACAAACAATTAATTAAAAATCACTTAGGCAGAGTTATTCAGTGTGTACTGTACATAGTCTAAGGACTGGGATGCTGTTTTTGAAGGTAGTTACAATTTTATTTTTTATTTTTTAATGTTTAGGTGCATTTGCTGTGGGCATTTTATAGCATGTGTCTCAACCAGAGTCAGCAGTGAGAGTTCAGCCTGGACACTCCAAAACTCTTCGCTCCTTCACCCCAGACGATGGACACTTTAAAGTGTTCTGGTTAAAATTACAAAACAGTTCTGCTCCAGTTCTTGGTTACTTTGGCTGAATCAGACAAAACTGGCATAATGATTGGAGAGAAATTTCAGGATCCCTCAAAGTATAGATTAACATGGAACCAGCTCAGCTTCAGTCTCTCAGTACTGAACATCGAGCAAACAGACATCGCTGTGTACTTCTGTGGGATGATTATTTTTAATAGGATGTGTTTTGGAAATGGAACAAGACTGATGTTTGAAGAGCATTTTAATGGTAAGCATTTGATTGGAATGTACCCAGCATATGTACTTTATTTCATGCACCTGAAGTGTGAGAAGAAATACTTTGCGAATAGCCTTAGTTTCATGATTTTGTTACTTTCAGATATTGCATTATACATTGTGACTTATAATATGAAATGACTTGCTTGAACGGAAATAATTAAGGAAAAGGAAGATGGCTGCAGTAAGTCCGCCTTGATATTCATTAGAAGATAACTAAGATTTCAATTAATATAGCTGAATAGTAAAGAGACTACAAATTATTAAATCAAATATTTTAAAACATTCAAAAATGTTTTTTTACACTGAAAATAACTAGTGCAAGATTCACTTTGAATTTATGTTCACTCAGAAATTGCTAGTAAATTTCACAGATAATTACAAATAAATGGCAAATAACACATTGAATTAAACATAATAGTTTGAAGTAGAATGACTTAATATTAATTAGAATGACTTAATTAGTATTTTCTTGAACTTTTTCCAATTTGTTTGTTTTTTTACAATATTGAAAAAAAAAATTTTTACAGTGTACT